GAAGGCAACAAAGAGAATATTGAGGTACTTGAAGCATACACAAAATATTGGATTATGGTATCCCAAAGGAGCAAGATTTGAGTTGGTTGGATATTCGGACTCCGATTATGCGGGATGCAAAGTTGAGAGAAAAAGCACATCGAGCACATGTCAACTTTTGGGAAGATCACTTGTGTCTTGGTCATCAAAGAAGCAAAATAGTGTAGCACTTTCAACCGCCGAAGCGGAGTATATTTTGTCCGGTAGTTGTTGTGCTCAATTACTTTGGATGAAGGCTACTTTGAGTGACTTTGGAATTAAATTCAAGCAAGTGCCATTGCTATGTGACAATGAGAGTGTCGTAAAGCTCACCAACAACCCGGTTCAACATTCAAGAACAAAGCATATTGATGTCCGCCATTATTTCATAAGAGATCACCAACAAAAATGGGACATTTGCATTGAGAGTGTGGGCACCGAAGATCAACTTACCGATATCTTCACCAAGCCACTTGATGAGAAGATGTTTTATAAGCTAAGGAATGAATTGAACATACTTGACTTCTCCAATATATGTTGATGCACCCCCAATTATATGACATGCCTCTCCTTTGAGCAATCCAAGGTAAAAGTTGATTGGCATGTCATACATCCTTGCTAAGGACATGATTAATGCATCTAGACATATTTCACATCTAAATAGGCTCATACATGAAATAAAATGAATTTGATGCTTGTATGGTACCACTATTGCTTGTATGTTTGAAATGATCTAGTGGTAGCATATGACATGTTTGTGGGCTTGTAAACCTAGTGTTTGATCTAGAAAATAAGCTATAAGTGTTTAACTCAATATGGTACAAGATAACCCTTATTTGGAGGTGTGAAGAAGCTTGTCCTTGGATCAAACCGAGCTAAATATCTTTTGCAAGTCATCTAAATTGAACCAAATTGGAAAAATGATCCTTATTTCACACGGTTTCACCCCAACCTATTTATAATTTGAGCTCACCTTTTGTGCTAATTGTTGACATTGATAATCCTAACCTATCTATACTTTAAGCCTTTGTGGTCATTGATGACAAAGGGGGAGAAATAATGTACAAAGATAGTGAAAAGACAACAAAGATATTGATGACAAAGGGGGAGAGATAAGATATGACAAAAGAAGCGGATCAATTAAAATTTTGAGCATACAAATAGGGGGAGCAAGCTCATGAACTTGTATGGTGCATTTAAATGTACATTACATATGTTTGCTTGCATGGCACAAGTTTTAAAGTTCAAATATCCATGCTTGTGTGATGTATGCTAATTGTAAGATTGAAATGATAAAATGAAAATCTAGCATGCATAGGTTATCTAATGATTTCATCTCAAGAGTTTCCAAGTGATATTGAGCTAAAGTAACTAGACTTATGTTCTTCTTATGGAAACTAGACCCGTACTTCTAATGTTGATTTCACTTGGCATTCTAGTTTTTGTGTATGTCTAGTTACTAATGGTGCTAAGGATGGTATATTGGTGCACTTCGATTGGTATCACGCTTCAAAGGTCCATCTCTTATACCTTAGCATCATTGGTAGAAATTGTCTCTTATATTTCTTATCTAAGCATATGTGCAAGTTACAATCCAAACTCTTAGCACATATGTAGGGGGAGCAATTGCTACCATTTGGAATTCATGAAACTTATCCATAATCCTTTACACATGGTAAATATGCTTGGGCAAGCAACATGGATTCAATTGAACTTTAATTCATATCTTTGTGTAAGCGTTGTCATCAATTATCAAAAAGGGGGAGATTGAAAGCTCTAGTTTGGTTTTGGTTAATTGATGAAACCCTAAGTGCTAACCTAGTTTATCAAGGTGATCATGAGATAGGTAGCACTACTCCAAGTGATGAAGCAATGGTGAAGATCATGACAATTGCGATGGCTTGGTGATGATCAAATGCTTAAACTTAGAAAAGAAGAAAGAGAAAAACAAAAGACTCAAAGCAAAGGTATAAATTATAGGAGCCATTTTGTTTTAGTGATCAAGACACTTAGTGAGTGTAATCATATTTAAGATTGATAGCCGTACTATTAAGAGGAGTGAAACTCGTATCGAAATGCGGTTATCAAAGTGCCACTAGATGCTCTAACTCATTGCATATGCATTTAGGATCTAGTGTAGTACTAACACCGTTGAAAATATTTATGAAAATATGCTGACACATGTGCACAAGGTGATACACTTTGTGATTGGCACATTTGAGCAAGGGTGAAGAAGATAGTGATGAAAGAGGGTCAGTCTCGCTGTTTCACAAAGGGACCGGCGCGTCCGGTCAGGTGTGGCAGTGAAGACCTGATGTCGGTCTTGTGATCGGACGCTGGAAGGTAGCATCCGGTCAGAGCTGACGTAACAGTACCGAGATCATGGAGACCAATCGGACGCTAGCTGCGTCCGGTCAAGGTCGACCGGACGAGTCTTGTCAAGATTTGCCGTCTCTGGCAGCTTACTGTAAATAACCGGACGCTGGGGGTTCAGCGTCCGGTCACTTTTGCCGCAGCGTCTGGTCGTGTCTCGACCGTTGAGATCAGCTGGCTGCGGTTGAACGCAGAGGGACACGTGGCGCACATCGCACGACCGGACGCTGAGGTCTAGCGTCCGGTCAATATGACCGGACCGTCCGGTCGGCCCGTGTTCAGTGCAGTGAGGAGCCCAATGGCTCTATTTCATGGGGGCTTCTATTTAAGCCCTATGGCCGGCTCAAGCTCACTCTCTTGGCCATTTGCATTGACATAGCAACCTTGTGAGCTTAGCCAAAGCCGTCCCACTCATCTCCATCATTGATTCGTCATCTTTGTGAGATTGAGAGAGAATCTAAGTGCATTGCTTGAGTGATTGCATCTAGAGGCACTTGGTATTCGTGTTTTGCTGCGGATTTCGCTTGTTGCTCTTGGTGGTTGCCACCACCTAGACGGCTCGATACAGCGGTGGAAGATTGGCACGAGTTGGTGATTGTTCGTGGTCATCTCCGGTGATTGTGAGGGGATTTGTATCTTCTCCGGCGGAGCGCCGAAAGGTAACTCTAGTGGATTGATTATGTCATTGAGTTACCTTACTTGTGGGTAGGTTCTTGTGGTGTCCAATCGTGTGGACGAGGTTTGTGCAACACCTCTTAGCCGCCGAACCACCAAGTGTTGGTCGAAACAACGGGGACGTAGCGTGTTGGCAAGCACGTGAACCTCGGGAGAAAATCGATTGTCTCTTGCCATTTGGTATTCTCTCGGTGATTGATTTTATCTTCATCTTGTGATTGGTTCATCCCTCTACACGACGGTATAATCACCCTACTCACTCTTTTATATTTTTGCAAACTAGTTGTGGCAAGCTCTTTAGTGTAATTAGAATTGAGAGCTTGATTTGTTATTTAAGTTCATCTAGTTGAGCTCTTTAGTGTAGTAAGTTTGAGAGCTCTTAGTGAGTAGTTCCATAGCAAGGTGTGTGTCTAGTAATCATTACAACTATAATTGTTGGATAGGTGGCTTGCAACCCTCGTAGAGCTAGAGCAAGTTTGCATTTCGCTATTTGTCTTACTAATCAAATTGCTCTAGTTGATTTGTAGAATTTTAAATATGCTATTCACCCTATCTAACCATATTAGGACCTTTCACATGACCCTATTGTGTGTCTGCAATATGTATTTAGTTGAAACTTCAGCTTTAGTAAACGTAGCTCTTGTTGCAGCCCATGTGCTATGACTTCATGAATCTAGATTTTAGCTTTCTAGTTCTGATCTTTTTAGGTATTGCACTTTTTTACTCTTTGTTGTGTTAAGTTGAAACTTTCTTTTAGAATTCTCGTAAAGCATGAATTCTAGATCCTATACCACACTTTGATTACTTCATGGCGTAACCATGAATTTCAACCTATACCATAATACACAAGATGTTAACTTTCTCAAAAAATATGAATAGTAGATTAAACTATAAAAAAATGTTATAACCGTTTCACTTAAAATGTACAAATTTACTTAAAGGTACAACTTAAGTAATTTATTGTACACCTTAAAATTAGATGTGATAGAGTATTATATAATTCAATTAAAATATATTGTTAGTGTCATTACTTGTGATTGGTTAAGGAAGCACTCTTTAATGATTTGTGTACTATGAAAAATATACTTATATCTCGTGCATGTATAATTGCTTGGCATGCATGTTGCCACACAATTTGTATGCATACTCCAAAATATCTTATGTGGATAATTTAGTTCTAAAAATTAAAGGGCTCTTTTAGTTTATTTCTAATAATGGAAGAGGTGGTAATTAAAATATGAACTTTACATAACCTTTCCTAATGATAGAAATGAGCATTTTAGATGTAAATTTTGGGAGTCACTACAGATTATGTGTCATAATAGAAAATGTCATTAAGTTGGATGAAAATTTAGGACGTTAATTTTGTTTGTTTTAGACAATGCCTGATGTTGGTATTTTGGAATAACTAGATCAAACTTCCATTATTTTTAATATTAATTACTGTCTACCGAATTATTGGCAATATGTTATTTAAGAATTTATGACATTACAACACATGGTATGCAAACAACACAGACACAATTTAAGTTAATGTTTCAACTAAAACATATCGAAGATGCATAAAGGTGCAATACACAGGGGGAAGCTGTAAACAATTTATCATAACGAGATAGAGATTATAAAATATATATGGATATATGATGTCAGAAAATGAACAAACAAATATAAGCAAAGATAAAGGATTTTGATTAATTGTGTGTATTTAAATTTATCTACGAACATTTATACTTATTTCTCATATGATTTTAGCTTATGCAAGAGCACGCACAGGTTGATAGACTAGTTAGTAGTATTAATAACAATAACACTTATCTGAGCTTCTTGCACTTTTTATTGGTGCATATAATCAGGATCCATATTCAAGCGGCATAACAAGACTACCTATGAATATGACGGTTCCTGCAATCCAAGTACAGTTTCTCTTAGTGCTGATGGCTTGTTGTGCACATATTGCCATGTGTTTGTTCAGCGGAAACTACACAGATAGGCTGTCACTACTGGAGTTCAAAAGGACAATCAGTGATCCAAACGAAGCCTTAATTTCTTGGAATGACAGCACCAACTTCTGTAGCTGGGAAGGTGTCTTATGCAGTGTCAAGCACCCACATCGTGTCAGTTCTCTGAATCTCACAAACAAATATTTGATTGGGCAAATATCTCCATCACTTGGAAACCTAACATTCCTAAAAGTCCTAATATTGTCAGGGAATTCATTTTTTGGGGAGATCCCTGAATACATTGGTCACCTTCATCACCTCCAAATTCTCAAACTGAATGACAACACGCTACAGGGAGGGGTACCCAGCCTTGCAAATTGTTCAAAACTCAAGGAGCTATGGCTGAGTAAGAACCAACTAGCTGGACAGATTCCTGCAGACTTGCCTAATAGCCTCCAAAAGGTGATTCTTGCTGCTAATAATCTTACTGGAACCATCCCTGCTTCTTTTGCCAATATCACAATGCTAAAGAACTTTACTTGCATGAATAATAATATCGAGGGAAACATCCCAAATGAGTTTGCAAGCCTAAGTGGGCTGCAACAGCTGCAGCTCGGCAACAATAAGTTGTCAGGTGGTTTCCCACAGATCGTTCTGAATCTCTCTAAACTAGTTGTGTTTAGCGTTGCTTCCAACAGCCTAAGCGGATATTTACCAGCAAACCTCGGTATCTCTCTACCCAACCTGAAATATATGTCTCTAGGCGGCAACTTCTTTCATGGGCACATTCCACCATCAATAACAAATGCTTCCGAGCTGATCATTCTTGATATGTCAAGGAATAAGCTCACTGGGGTGATTCCTAGCTCAATCATCAAACTTCACAAGCTGTATGCACTAAGTCTCGAGTTCAACAAACTCCAAGCAAGGAACAAGAAGCAAGACTGGAAGTTTATGGACAGCTTGGCTAATTCCACTGAGCTACAAGTATTCACAGTTCTGAGTAATCATCTCGAAGGCAATGTGCCAAATTCATTAGCTAACCTTTCCAGCCAACTCCGGTTCCTGTACACTTGTCGAAAAACCAACTGTCAGGAGATTTTCTTTCTGGTGTAGCAAAGTTTCGTCATCTGGTCAGTATAGAATTGGGTATGAATCGATTTACAGGTGTGATTCCAGAATGGCTTGGAACCCTGAAATACTTGCAGAGATTAACATTAGGTTACAACATCTTTACAGGACCCATTCCAGCATCGCTTTCTAATTTGTCCAATTTAAATGTACTCCAACTAGCATCGAACCAGCTGGATGGGCACATACCCTCAAGCCTGGGAAACCTCCAAACACTTGAAAAGTTGTATATTTCCAACAATAATCTTCATGGCACCATGCCAAAGGAGCTCTTCAGAATTCCAACCTTGCTGAAGATTAAATTATATTCCAACAACCTAGATGGACCACTTCATCCTGATATTGGCAATGCCAAACAACTCACATATTTGGATATTTCGTCAAAGAGTCTATCTGGAGAAATCCCTAGCACTTTGGGTAACTGTGAAAGTTTGGAAGATATCAAGATGGACCATAATGTTTTCAGTGGAAGCATACCCACTTCATTAGGCAATATAAATAACCTACAAATTCTCAACTTGTCTCACAACCACCTGGTTGGATCAATACCACACTACTGGATTCAGGTTCTTTGCCGAGTGCCTGAGGCACTCGGCAAAGGCCAAATTGCACTCGGCAAAGAACACATGGCAAAAAATTGACCGGCAAAGCCTTCTTTGCCGAGTGTCTTTTATCGGGCACTCGGCAAAGTCTTTGCCGAGTGCCCCGGGGACACTCGGCAAAGAAAAGCGACCGTCACGGCGCCGGCCCCGTTGACGGTGGCTTTGCCGAGTGCCAACCCTGCAGGCACTCGGCAAAGATTTTTTATTTTTATTTTAAAAATTTCTTTGCCGAGTGCCAACCTTGCAGGCACTCGGCAAAGATTTTTTATTTTTTTAAAAATTCTTTGCCGAAAGTGCCATCCCTCTGAGCACTTTCGGCAAAGATTTTTATTTTTTAAAAAAAATTCTTTGCCGAGTGCCTAACTCTCGCAGCACTCGGCAAAGATTTTTATTTTTAATTTTTTTTTGCCGTGTAGCCAACTCTTCAGGCACTCGGCAAAGATTTTTTATTTTTTAAAAAAATTATTTGCCGAAAGCCCCCGTCGACAGCTAAGCAAAGTTTGGATTTTTTAAAAAAAATCTTTGCCGAAAGTGCCCTCTGGCCAACACTCGGCAAAGTTTGAATTTTTTTAAAAAATTCTTTCTTTGAAATGCCATGGTCACAAAGACTCGGCAAAGCTGGAAAATTGTAATTTTTTTTACATTCCATCATGACAAATACATGAGCAGCAACATAGAAGATTTTAACACTACATAAGCTGTGACTACATTGAGTATGAGGGTTGTTCTTGAGATCCTGCAAAACCATTATAAACCAAAGTACAAATTTAAAAGTGCCAACAACAGAGAATACTGTAATAAGCAATAAGGTTTGCAGCTGGCAATGTTTAGAAAGAAGGGCAGTATGCAGCAGCTCTCTTGCACCATCAATCAACCAAACTTACTTAGACATAGAGAGTGAAGCAGCAGCGCATCCTAAGATATTTAAGGCACCAGGTCTCAGCCAACATGCTCTATCATACCTGAAATGCAAGGAATAAGACCTACCTTACTCGATATAGAAAATAACAATTTGGTATGCAATCCAAAATGTGGCCTTTCTAACATAGAAGGCCACTCTATACAGAAAAGTATTACAAAATGAAATACAATTGATATATAAACTGGTTCCATTTGGATTGTATCCTACACAAATTCGCATGTACAGAACAATAGTTCTTGCTTTGTGTCAACTCACACATGAGATTTATCCTGAATAAAAATTCAATTACAATCTAAATGCAATTGAAAGTGTCAAAGTGATACACTGTGTCAGTAAATAGTACGTGATCTTTTGTTTTTTGCCAAAAGAGGGGCATAAATCATGATTGAGAAAGTTCTAGGGTGCTCATTTATCAAAAAGTATGCTTAAATTTCAACCTGCAACTTGTGGTCAGAACCACTGCTGCACACAAAGCTGGCAGTAGAATATGCAAGATTTCAAGGTTCTTCAATATGTGAAACCCACGGCCCCCATTGGCACTAGAAGGACAAATACTGTGTGATTTTTTTGCGAGAAAAAAGAAAGTTTACCTGTCAACCAGGATATTTTCTTTAGCAATATTTGATAGCCCAGTTGCGTATTCAGAGTGGTCAAGAAAGCACCTGATATACACACATATAAAGTTAGTGACATAAGAAGAAACTAACTGAACTGATGATTTTTTTATATGATAGAAACAGTGAGTAAAGTACACAAATATTTATATAGATCTTTCTAAGGATGCATGTTTACTGGATTAATAATAATAATTGGACCAAGAGATCTCAATTCCAGAGAAGAGATGTTTTCTGGAATAGAACATATATTGGCTCGCCAGTTAGTAATCAGGTATATGTTACCATATTTATGTCCCTCTCTGTCAAATTTGGCACCAAAAAAACCAATCTGGCTCAGGCCAATAATTAGAACCCGATGATAATATGAATCAGAATGTCCCTAGCACTATTGGTAGCAAGCAAGTAACATAGAGTTCCTTCTTTTGTACAGAAGTTTGCATGGAAGGTGTATTCTTAATTTTTCTATGGTGTAGTCTCCAGATTACAGCTACTATCTTAAATATCATTGCTTTTGCAAGATAATTTTAAGAGTTAGAGTGATCTGAATTTACTATCAGTTCACTAATATTTAATTTTTTATGATCAGACAATATTTTTTAGAACAATTATCATACTATAGGTACTTGCAGCTGAAGATAAGTGCAACTGTTATCATACTATAGGTGACTACATTGAGTAAGGCATGTTCTTGACATTCTACAAAACCATTATAAATGGCCACTGAAGATAAGTGCAGCTGGTCAGACATTTGGGTATAAAAAAATTCAGTCAAGTTCAGAATATTATGTACATCATATTGAAGAACTTACTCAATAGTAGCTTGGTTTTTGGCACTTGCAGGAGCTTGCCACTGCTACGGACACAGCTCTATGGTTGTCAGGTGCCTGCTGCTTTAGAATAGAACCTATCATCCTTTTACTGCAAAAATTAAGTGGTCATAAGGAAATCATGTATACAAATAGAAAGAGCAAAAGATATAATCTGAATTCTCATAAGCAATTTAAAATTCTCCACGGTGAACAAGACAGGAACATAAAAATATGAATTGTACACCTAGGTCATCCAACACTACCTTATACATGCCAGAACAAGATCGACTTAAAACTTGCAGTGCAGCAGCAGATCAAAAATTTAAAGCAAGACAAATCTTAGGCTTGACTAGAGAACTGCATTTATTGTTGTACATTGTACTCGCAGCAGAATGTATGTGTGCACCATACTGCACAAGCTCTAACTCTGCCCCGATGAAAACTGCAATACAACTTCCTCCTATACTACTTGAGGAGTTCAGAAAGGACCCATAGAATCAGTATGAACGATGATATCTCAAGCACAAGTATAATAGCACATTAACACTACCTGATCCACACTAGTCAGTTTGCCGAGTGCTTTTAGAATAGTGGTCAGTATAGCACAAGTATAATGAACATTAGCACTATAATAGTGGCTAGTATAGCAGGTTGCTGGGTTCAGACAAGAAAGAAAATGCTTATAGATATGCACTAGCTTTCAGAAATACTAAACTAGTTCCATTTCCTAAAATAGAGATAATTCACAGTGTAGCCGGAAAGATGCCTAAACCGACATAACACAATGCAGTACATCTAAAAATGACAGAATGGGAATGTATTATACTTACCTTCTTCTCAGGAGGTTTTATGCCAAAAAAATTCACCCATCGCTAACTTCTCACTTGATTCCTATACAAGGATGACATGACTACTGTGTTAGTTACATTCATGAAATTGTAGAAAAAAGGTAAAGCAACAACGACGCAGAGTAACAGCTAACACACCAGGCATGTACATGCTAGCTAATATGCAGTGCCAAATTTTTATCTCTTCTCTTGGCTGACTATATATGCTAGCTAATTAGCTATATGTGCTTGATCGATCTACCAACAAATCAAGATTGCCGATGAAACCTGCATGATGCACGCTGACCTGACCAGCTTGTCCGTTTGCTTGTTCTAGACAGTGGGTCATATGCTGCCTTAACAAAATTCTCAACTGGATTAAGGGTGATCACAACTGGATTATTATAATCTTAGATTATACAGAGGACTATTACAATCTAGATTATGAACTATAATGATGTGAGTGTTTGGATTCCTAGATTATTCTTAGTTCAAGTGAAAAATATTCATGATCACCAAAAACCAGGTCCGAGGTGGATATAATCCAGGTCATAATCTAGACCTGTTGGGATCACAATTAGATTATTTTAGCTGATTATTATAATCATAATGGACCCAAACAGGCCCTAAGAGGCTAAGACACATTACGAAGACCTTCAGGATGTACGAAATGATCAAATCGCATTAAAGGAGAGCATAAACGGCAAGTGCTCCATGCCGTGCGGAAGCAATCACCTCGCCGCGAAGCTTCATGTTGAGGACGCTTCCCTTGCGGACGCGCTGCCACGGCGGCGCCACGAGCATGCGGAGCTTAACGGCGAGCTGGGTCCCCCACCCAAGCTCTTCGACCTCGAATGCTGCCGCCGCGGGCGCTAGCTGCTCCTGGGCCTCACTGGCGGCCGGGGACGGCTCCTGCTCCTCTTTGGTGAGCCCGGGGGAGGACTCCACTGCGCGGCGCGGGGAGGGGCTGCGGCCGGGCGCGCGGGCAGCTGGGAGGCGCGGGCGCGTGGGCGGCCTGGCGTCGCGGTGGCGCGGGCACGCGGGCAGAGCGGGCGCGCGGGCGGGCCGGCCTTGGCGGGCGGCGGCGCGGGGACGGCATGGAGCGGCGCCGCGGGGGCGCGGCTCTGTCTGTCTGTGCGGCAGCGGCGCGGGGGCTCTGTCTAAGTGCCCCACCCGCCCCTTTGCCGAGCGCCGGATCACGAAGGCACTCGGCAAAGATTTATTTTTTTTTTATAATTTTTTTTTTTGTTAAGTGCTCCTGTGGATGCACTCGATAAAAACAAAAATTTTAAAAAAAATTTAAAACACTCTTTGCCGAGTGCCTTATGTCTGGCACTCGGCAAAGACACCCTTTGCTGAGTGCCATGCCCCGGCACTCGACAAAGTTTTTTTTGTTTTTGGCCTCCAATTTTTTTGTGCAACCCTTTTAAAGCACCAGGAACTCCTAGTTACAATTTGAGGATTTTTTTGTGGCTTTTTGATATATTTAATTATTTTATTTCGTTTACTTGAATTTTTTCGAAAAATAGAAATTTGAGTGATGCGTGATAATACGAATAATGGAGTTTAATTATTCAAAAATTGATAGTCATATTAGCGAGTGTTGTGAGAGGCCGTATCCAGGAACGGACCCGAAATTTCAGACATCTTGTTCACGAAACATGTCTGCGAAATTGCGTGTGAAGTGTTTTTAAATTCTATAAAAAGCAAGCGAAATCGAAAATCATGAAACTTGTTGAGATGTCGTGATATCATATGTGGAGCTATGATAAAAATTCTAGAAGAAACACGTTGTCACACGCGATGCTTACAAACCAGGATGTGATATGTCTCATGAACAAGATGTCCTCACATCCATCTTCTCGGATGCCTCTCTCTCACAACACTCTCACTAACATAACTATCAATTTTTGAATCATTAAATTCCATTATTCGTATTTTGCAGCTCAAATTTCTATTTTAGAATTTAAAAATTTAAGTAAACGTAAATAAAAATAACTAAAATATCAAAAAACCACAAAAAACTCCAAATTGTAACTAGGAGTTCTGGTGCTTTAAAAGGGTTACTACAAAAATATTGGAGGCCAAAAAAAAAAAAAAAAAAAAAAACTTTCTTAGAGTGCGGGCATGGCACTCGGCAAAGGTGTCTTTGCCGAAAGTGCCGGGCATAAGGCACTCGGCAAAGAGTGTTTTAAATTTTTTTTAAAAAATTCCTCTTTTTGAGAGTGCATTCACAGGAGCACGGCAAAGAAAGAAAAAAAAAATTAAATCTTTGCCGAGTGCCATGCCGGGGCACTTTCGGTAAAGTATTTTTAAAAAATTTTTGCCGAAAGTGCGGATCTCGAGACACTCGGCAAAGAATTTAAAAAATTAAATCTTTTCTTTGAGTGCGGATCTGGAGCACTCGCAAAGAATTTTTTTTAAAAAATCAAATCTTCTGCGAGTGCCTAACAGCAGGCACTCGGCAAAGAAGGCCGTGACCGAACGCCGTTTCGCGGGCAGCCTATGCCGAGTGTAGAGATTTTGGCGAGAGTCTGGCACTCGGCAAAGAAGTCCTTTGCCGAGTGCCCGGCACTCGGCAAAGAACTCTTTGCCGAGTGCAATTCTTTGCCGAGTGCAGCACTCAGCAAAGAAGGTATTTGCCGAGTGCCCGATTTTTGACACTCGGCAAAGAATTTTGCACTCGGCAAAGTCTCTGTTTCCAGTAGTGCCAGGGTCTTTTGGAAGCCTAAAATGTCTTCAGCAACTAGATTTGTCATTCAACCAACTAGAGGGTGAGGTCCCAACAGCTGGAATATTCAGCAATTTAACTTCACTGTGGATTGTTGGAAACATAGGCCTCTGTGGAGGGGAACCGGCCATGCACCACGGCCGTGTCCTGCAATGCATTTGAATTCAGCAAAGCACAAGCATTTTATTGTTCTGAAAGTCTTGATCCCATTAACCAGCATTGCATCACTTGTGATAGTCATATCTGTAATGTTGTTCTGGAGAGGAAAACGAAAGAAAGAAAATGTACCTTTGCCCTCATTTGATAGAAAGTTCCCCAAAGTTTCTTACAATGATCTTGCAAGATCAACAGAGGGGTTCTCCACATCCAAATTAATTGGCAAAGGAAGATATTCTTCTGTATACCAAGGAAGTTTGTTTGAAGACAGAATCGTTGTTGCTGTCAAAGTTTTCAGCCTAGACAGAATCGTTGTAATGCTCTAAGAAATGTACGGCATCGCAATTTACTCCCTATCCTAACTGCATGCTCGAGTATTGATTCAAAGGGAAATGATTTTAAAGCTTTAGTTTATAAGTTCATGCCACAAGGTGATTTGCATACTTTGTTGCACTCGGTTCCTGGTGATGGGAGCACTTCAACTCTGAGCCACATTACATTGGCTCAAAGGTTAAGCATTGTAGTGGATATCGCAGATGCAATGGAATACCTGCATCATAACAACCAAGGAACTATTGTTCATTGTGATCTGAAGCCTAGCAACATTCTTTTGGATGACAATATGATAGCACATGTTGGAGACTTTGGTCTTGCAATGTTTAAAGTTGATTCTGCAGTGTCATCTTTTGGCGATTCACTTTCGGCTTCTTCAATGGTTATAAAGGGAACAATTGGCTACGTTGCTCCAGGTAATGTTACTCCGATATATATACTGCATCTTCAATTGTGAACTTGTTGATTAAGTTTGGACCTAGAGCTGTATAACCAATAGGGTGCAGAGTTTGTGTTGGACCCATGTAACTATGCTTCTCATAAATATGAGCATGTCTAACATTGTAACCGTGACATCTTAGGGATAGATTCATAGGGGGAAGCATAGTGGTGGTTCCCATGTGGAGGCTAGGTTGGTCTATCTTTGTATATGTTCTTCTTAATAACATGAGTATAAGAGCCAATATATAGAAAGAACAATATGTTTTTGTTTTGATAAGGGAAAGAACAATATGTTGAGCAGACTAATAACATCTTGCAAACAGCATAAAGTCCAAAATTACCCAGAATAGTTTAACACCCACAATTAAAATGAGATCACAGTACCACATTTCATCGAGGTTATACTTTCTAAAGGCCATGGAATTCTTAATTATATTGTCTATGTTCACTTGGAAGAAAATATCATCTGTTCCAACAATGGTTAAAAATAATCAACATATCATCTGTTCTAACAATGGTTGCGAGATTAAATATTTGCTTTCACATGCTTGTTTCTCTGACAATATGCAATCTGCAGAGTGTGCAACAAGCACAGAAGTTACAATCGCTGGGGATGTTTACAGCTTTGGAATTGTTATCCTTGAAATAATCTTACGGAGGAGGCCAACGGATGACATGTTCAAGGATGGACTGAATATTGTAAAATTTGTCGAGACGAACTTTCCTGAAAGTATATTAAGGATTATAGATCCTGACCTACTAGAAGATGAGCACGATGTCTCAGAAGGAACTTCAGTAGGCATGAAGCAGAACAGCTTGGAATGTATACTCTCAGTGCTAAAGGTTGGACTTTGCTGTGCCAACCCATCCCCAAATGAGCGCATGGACATGCATGGAGTGGCTGCAAGGTTGCACGGAATAAAGGAGGCTTATCTGAGAGGAAACTGAGGCTACACTAGACATGCAGTTAAATGCCAATTTCAATCTCTGATCGTCGTATTTATAAAGTTTTATGGCACAAATGAATAATAACCTTTTGCAGGGATGATGAGGAGCTCCCATCTCTGCCAAATCCTGGCACTTTTCGACAAATATGTTGAGACTTGAGATGTACTCTGTAAAAAAGGAGGTTTCCTGGTAACTACAATCCATGACACAAAATGTGTTTTCTGTTGTCTCGACATTTATTTATTGGTTTTGGTGTGCCTTTCAAGATTTGACACTTTGACCCACATGTCAGTGACTCAGATTGCCTCCAAATGTCATTGTGTATGAGTGTTAAATCTTGAAGGGCTTGTGATTTTGATGTCAATTATCAAAATATCTCGGTTTAGGTGCAAGTCACATATGTATGATATTCTATAAGTGTTCACAGGGGTAGGTGCATGTGCGTGTGTGATTCATAGCAGTGAGTGTGCATACATGTTTGCGTTCATGTATCATAATGATAAAGAAAAATACTCCCATGACTTATCTACATCTAATATTAAAAGTGGTATTTTTCTTCTTCTTTTTCTCACTATCTCCCAGTCATCCATCTCTCAGTCCATTTGTGCGTTCGGGTGTGTGGCTCACCTTCCACCTTTCTTCAAACTCACAATAGTTACCTATTTATGTCGAGTCAATTTTCTCAAAATTTATCATATGAGATATATGGCAGCAGGAGGAGCTAGGGAGGATTGAGGGTGATGACATAGTATTGGTATCGAATGGAAGAAGACAGAGGGCGGCTGTAAGATCATGGTGGCCAATTAGAGGGGGGTGAATGGTCATTTTTAAAACTAAGAGCAGAGGCTAGCCAAAAGATGTGAAATAATTAAACAAACGGCCCGGCCACGACTTCAGCCCTCTTGTACAAAGATTCTGGCACCCTAAACAAGAGCTAAAAGTAGAGAAACACTTAGGGTGACTAGCAAGCAAGAGTACACACATACACAATTCAATTATGCAAGGTCAAGCAACCTAAGAAACTAGAATAACTAGCATGCACGAGAGCTCCTCCACAACTCTACAGCAAAGATAAGCAACAAGCCTACACTAGCAATAAATAACTTAAGTAAAGAGCTTGTGTAGATAGAGCAAACCACAATGGAAGGTGACACGTGATGTTTGTCTCATGGTTTGGTGACTTGCCAATTGCCTACTCCATGTTGAGGAGAGTCCAAGGATCGCTGCTTCTCCTCTAGCTCACCATGCCCTCAAGATTAGACTACCCCAACAAAGTAGGCTCCGATGTGAGTGCTAGACTATGAGCCAGCCGATCAACAAGGCACTCCACATGCCTCCAATCCACTAGTGTTGCTCTTCGCCTTCCTCTGGTGGGCACAAGCACAAGAGACTCATACCAATCCTCCTCCGGAGTGATCAAAGAATCACCACCCAGTGCTTGTGTGGAGGCACAACCACCAAGCCATCTAGGAGGTGGCAACCTTCAAGAGTAACAAGCAAAACCGCTTACAAACTAGCCACTAGTGCAACTAGATGATATCTCTCCTAAGTAAATGCACTAGATCACTCCAATCTCACCACGAATGCGATCTCAAACTAAACATATGTGACTGAGGTGTTTCTTGAACTCTAATGTGTTAGCATAACAGCATGGGGTCTCTAGAGATGTGCCAAGGCTAGCCACACCCTTTATTTATGATCCCACTCAAGAAACTAGTTATTATCAACTTGATCAACTTTTGTGTGACTACTGGACAAACCCTTCGGTGGCACAACCAGAGCTTTGCATCGGAGCCCCAAATGACTAACTCAGTGGCTTGTTTAAACTACTTGTTTCACACGCTTTTATCTGCTGCTAGCATATCTGGTGGCACCAGAGAAATCTGGTGTCCCAGCACATCTTTGTGCATTTCTGTAGAAAAAACTAGGCCCAAGCCTTTGCTTTGATTTGATGCTCCCTCAAGGACACCACTAGAGAAGTACGATGATCCCCAAAATCGTCAGCAGAAGGTTTTTAACACCATTGGAAACCTTTGGTACCTAGCACAAGAGAGCTTTTAGTGCTCACATTTAAACTTTCTCGTGCATAGCTTCTTTGTGTCGATCACCACCACATGGCAACCCATTCTTCAGTGATCCCTACTCTGGTTGCCATCGAAACAGTAGGCTCACACTGCACACTTAATTGATTTTCAACTGAGCACCCTAAGCTTTGGTGCCCCTCACCTCGGGGACACCGAACTTTTTTTTGGTGCTGCTACACGCAGTGCACATAGATGATCAGACCGCTGCTAGTTAGGGAGCCTAGGCTCCGGTGCCTCCCCCCTATAGAGCATATAACTTTTCTGGTGGGTGTAGAAGCACCCCCACCAAATCCCTCTCTCAAACCTTTTTCAAATATGATAACTCCCAAACTTGTTACATGGGACGACACCTTTAGCACTAAGTTAGAATTTTTCAAAATTTTTGCAAAGGTTTTCACTTGCTTCCTTTCCATGCCACTTGATTTAAATGCACCCTCGAGTTAGATCCCACTTAGTCCCCATGTTCGCTGGTTGGTGCTGGTGCTGGTTTGGGCTGACTGGTGCTGGTTTTTTGTGAGAGGAAAACACTGTTGGCTGGTTAAATAAGCCTGGCTGAAATCAACAAGCGAACAGGGTGACTGTGACACTAGATAACCAGTTAACAAACCAGATTTGTCCCTCTTGATAGTAGACTATCTATCCTAAACCCGACCAATGCTCATACACCTTAGGGTTGTGATATGACATGCCCTATATTTCATTCATTTACCTTGAGCAATTCCATTTCATCTCCATTGTGATGCCCACATGCATCCACTTTCCATATCAACATCTCCATCTTGATGTCCAATGATCATCTCCACATGTGGCCCTCCATGCAAGTTTGACCATTGTCCATGCTTGAAGCTCCTTCATCCTCTGTTCTCCAAGCCACTTGATACTCACACATGATATCCATCTTGGCTTCAACTCATGGATAATATGGTCCACTTCATAGCTTCATATAGCCTTCATAGTCCATCGACCTTAGCCATCCATGCTCTTCCTTGTCTCCTTAGTCCTTTGGCGCAATGTCCTCTACTCGCACTCTACTGCCTCGATGGTCCTTCGTGCCGATCCTCTAGCTTGCCCTTCACCCTTGCACAGTCCACTGTAGCCAAGCCTTGCCTTGGTCTTCACCATCTTCCATATGATATTAGTTTGTTTATCCCGTATTCAATATGCTTCTCCTCATATTGATCTTATCTTTTTCCTCAACTTCACTAGTAGTTAAGCCATGCATTGCACCTCATGTAGACATACCATTTCCTCCATGGCCTGAATAGGTCAACATCACCTTGTGGACAATACATCACCTATTCATCTCACAAGAAGAGTACTAGTCCACCTACAGTTACCACTTGATTATCAAAACCAAACTGGAATTTTCAGCAACTCATAGGATGTGGCTAAAAATGTTGGGATCTATAGAAAGTTTATTTCAAATGAATATAACTTTTGGATGAAGATATTGTGCTTACAAATTCCCATTAGTAAGTACAATGAATCTCAAGATCTATCCACCAAGTCTTCCATAGATGTTCACAGGGTACGGTGTGTATGTATATATATTTATGGAATTATTAGGACATCTCTAGTTTCGATATCCACGAATGTTTTTGAGTTTGTCAAATAAAATAACTAAAAGGGTTCAAATAAACATTAGGGGCCATTTGGATACCTTCATTTTAGGGAATTGAAATCTACTTAATGGATTAGGCTATTTGGCTTAGAATTTGAGATTCCATAACTTTCCAAAAATCACACGTAAGCCTACCTCGATCAAATTCATAGGGTGAGAGAGATGGAAATCACTAGTAGAGAACAGGCCTTTGATCCTCGGCCAAAATGGGCTCTAGTCCAGGAATTTTTTGCGCCCGGGATTAGAAATACCTTTAGTCCCGGTTGGTGTCTCCAACCGGGACTAAAGGTCCCTGCCCCAACGGCTACTGCGCCAGAGAGAGGTGGCAGGGACCTTTAGTCCTGGTTGGAGCCACCAACCGGGACTAAAGGTATACTTTTACTCTCGGTTGGGGGCTCCAACCGGGAGTAAAGGTCTACTCCCGGGCCGTGGCTGCGCCCGGGGTTGGAAAGTTACCTTTAGTCCCGGTTGGAGCCACCAGCCGGGACTAAAGGTCCCCCCTTTATATCCCGGCCGGCTCCTCCTTCCTCCCCGAGCCCGAGCTCAGCACATTTTGAAGCTCACTGCAGTAGTGTTCTTGCTTCCTCCCTCCCTCCATTGTTCCTCCATCCATTATTCGATTCCTCCATCGATTTCTTCAATTCCTCCGTCGATTCTTCAGTTGTAAAGGTTACCAATCTCATACTCTCATTTTTCACCATTGTCTTATCTCATTTTGTTCACTATATATATATATGGTTCTTTATTTTGGTTTTTTTTCATTTGTAAGCAATTTGAGCTCAAAATCACTTCAAGCTTGCATATTTACATGAAATAAGGTTAAAGTAGCTAGTTGAACTTTGGACCGTGTTCATCTCGGCGAAAGCACGTTCTCTGCCGAAAGTGATAACGGACGTCAAGGAGGAGCTTTGATTCTCGAGGGAGAGCGGCAGCGGTCGTGGAAGACCGTGTTCCCTTCCTCGTAGAATTGGAGCTCTTCCGTGGTCAAATCTGGTGCCGTCCTGTGGAGACATGCTCACCGAGATGATCACGTAAGCAAGGTCAACTAATACGGATGGTTATTTATTCACATGTGTCCCGATATATCGTCGCGATGAGTCATCAATCACCATACCCAAAGCGTAGTATATATATAAATATAAACTTAGAAAATAGTTAGAAAATTATAGAAAATCCATACTAGTTGAACTTGCGGACCGTGTTCATCTCGGCGAGCATGTTCTCTCGCCGAAGCGGTAACGGACGTCAAGGAGGAGCTTTGATTCTACGAGGAGAGAGCGGCAAGCGGTCGTGGA